TTTGCACCTGAACCGGCACAGCTCAGAAATCGGACAGGACTCTTTTTTTAATCCACACTGAATCCGCACTGCCAGTGCACCGGACATACTGTATGTGATAGGCACCATAGGAAGCAATGTTATTTCACTTGTCATGAGGATTGGATGAGGTTAAAACCGCATCCAATAGGCATATTTATGTGAACCATACTTGATGGTATGTCTTACAAATTGATCAGCTTTCTAGCTATGTAGCCTGTATATTACACTTACATAGTGCTCTGACTCTAAGGCTCCATTCACACCTATGCAGTTTGCTTTTCGTCCATTTTGCAGTGCTTTTCACAGTTCATTTTGCATTTTTCTACATGCATTTTTAACTTGTTTTTGATCCATTTTTACCACGTTTTGCTTTTGTTCAGCTTTTTTTATAAAGTGAAATTTTTTTTTGCTGGGCAGAATAAAAATGCAAAAAGTGGCAAATACGCATTACCATGCATTTCAGCAGATTCTCCATTGAACTCTATTGTAGCACAAACGCTGCTTTTTACTTTTACAAAAGTCCCTGACCCTTTCCAAAAACTCAGCAGCTCAAAAAAGAATAGATGTGAACATCTTTCATATGAAACCAAGTTAAATGGACTGTAGTCTGTTTCTGAAAAAAAGCACTAAAAAACGCATTGGTGTGAACAGAGCCTAAAGGCTACTTGGGGGTTTCAATCATGGGTATTGTTAGACCTCAGCACCTGGAATGCCAGCCCCTAGTGATACCTAGCCAAGGTGCCAGGCAGCTTTGGACTCTGCTGATCTGCTGCCCAGCTGTGCTGCATAGTTCTCTGGCCACTGCAACTCCATAGAACCAGAACATTGGTAGGTATAACTGTGCTCCTACTGACCACTGATGTAAGGAGAAACCTCACTACTGACCAGAGACATAAGGAGGAACTCTCTTACTGACCACCAATGTAAGGATTGAACTTCTCCAGCAGCCACCAATGTAAGAGGGCATTTCAAACCGAGCACGAGTGTAAGGTGACTATTCTTTTTTTGAGCACTAATGTAGCTGGGCACTTCTCTAATGACTGAATGTAAGAAGCTACGTAATGAGATGCTTTGTAAGGGGACAATGTTCTTGTGACCACCAATGTAGGAGGGCACTTTCCAGTGACCACCATGTAAGGAGGTACTTCATTACTGAGCACCTATGTAAGAGGACAATTCTGTTTTGGCAACGAATATAGGTTCTCCAAGGACCACCACTGTAGGGGAGGGGGAACTTCTCCAATGACCACCGATGTAAGGAGATACTTCATTACTGAGCACCTATGTAAGAGGACAATTCTGTTATAGAACAATATAGGTTCTCCAAGCACCACCACTGTATGGGAGGGAGAATTTCTCCAGTGACCACCTATGTAAGAAGGAATGTCCCCAGGAGGACGAGGCACTACATTGAACTCTAAACATGCTTCTAAACACTGCTCTCTTTAAGCTGTACTGTATGTTAGATACTTCTGACTGTTGCACATGTTGTAGAATTTAAAGAGATCCTGTCACTTAGAAAAGAATAGCAGGAACTTTCATTACTTTCTGCTATTGCCAAATGTTGATCTCTGAAATTCTTGGCTGTGTGGGAGCTTGCCCACTCCCTCACTTTCCTATTGGCCCATCACTATGATTGCCTGCCTTGTTGACCTTGAGGATTATTTCACTTTAACAAACAACAAAAAACACAGATGAAAAAAATATAAAACTGTTTTAGGTCCAGTTCACACTACATGCGTTTCAGTTGAGTTTTTTCTGCATCCAAAATGCACAGAAAGTAGGTTATATGGTTGTCAATGTCATAGTTCACATCAGAGCTTGCAGTTCTGGTGCGTTTTGGATACAGAAAAAAAGTACAACGTGCTGCATTTTTTCTGCCAGAACTGTACTGGAACATGGTAAAATGCATAAAAAATGCACCAGAATACAACAAAATGCACTGAAATGCACATGTTCCTATTTAAATTGAAGTAAAAGAGGGGAAAAAATGAACTGGAATGCATAAAAACGCACCATAACGCATCAAAAACGCACCATAACGCAACAAAAATTTGCATGCAAAAACGCATCCAGAACACATCTGGACTAGTTCACACTAGATGCAGTTCATTGCGCATGCACAGTGTTTTCCATATATTCCAAAAGCCGTAGTTCACATCAGTGCAGTCAGTTTCTGGTGTAGAAAAAAAAGTAGAACATGCTGCATTTTTCCTCACAGAACCATACTGGAACATGGCAAGCTGCATCAAAATTGCACCGGAACTGCGTGTGGTGTGAACGGTAAGCAAAAATGTATCCACAGTGTATTTTTGTGGTGTGAACTGGCCCTTACATCCCAAATGATTTGTATTTCTGTCCCTCCTGTTCTCAGAGGTACACAGCGCTGCCACTGGACAGCCCTGACTGGGGGTGTAGGAGAGAGAACAGAGTTTCCTTTGCTACACTTCACTCACACTTGGCTTACAGATCTTGTCCCTCTAACTGCCTATGACTGAGCAATGAAAGGTGGAACAGCAGATTAATGAGCTCAAATCCCTGTCATCCTCTCCTCCTATCACCATACTGCTTGCACTGCACCACAACTGATTGGCTCTGTGTGCTGTTTCTCTTTCCCCCAGTCTTTTCTCTGCTGTACAGGGATTGCAAGAAGCTAATAGAAAGTCGAATTAAGGAACTTACATTGCATGCGCTTACAGAATTTAATTTATCGAGTTATTAATAAATACAGCTCTGGATAATTTGTGTCTTTCGTATCTGCCAGGAGTTCAGTTTTAAGATGTCAGTTAATTCACTTATTAGCAGCCTCTTCAGTTTCAGAAACTCGAGCAAACTGTTAATAGAACGTTATATTTAGAAAACTAAAGAGGTCTGCCATTAGAAATGAGAGATTTGTTTTGTTTTTTTGACCACAGCTCTTTTTAAAGTTTGCTATACAGATCTCAGATTAGGTGTTTAATACAGTTGTTTTAAATGTGTCACAGTAAGGCTACTCATTGGTAAAAATGCAGAGAAGGTCAATCAAACTGATGAGAGGCATGGAGGAGCTTAGCTATGAGGAAAGATTAGCTGAACTGAATTTATTTTCTCTTGGGAAGAGGTAATTAAAGGGGTATACAATCACCATATATAAATACAGTTTATAAGTGGTCCATATAGTGACTTTGATGTTCAGTTATTCACTTTTAGGTGGAAGAAAAGCCTAAGTCTAACTATTCTTAAAAGTGTTCCATCCATCCTCCTCCTACCTCTCCTCCTTATCCTGCTTAACCTATGTAGCTCTCTTTTGGGGGGTTTAAAAGAATTGGTTCTCCACAAACAGAATATTGCACTAAATCTGTAAGTGAATAAGAGAATCAGAACCAGAATAAGATTGGGTAAGAGGAAGAGTGGGTTTGACAATAAAGTTGGTAGTGCCTTCACCCAAGACAGGGCTTCTGTGAACAGAGGGGATTCCCTTCCTAAGAAATGAATCAATAATCTAATCAAAGTAACTAGGAGGAGAAGAACTACTGCAACCTGATAGGAGTCCTGGTGGAATTGTGAGCATATACCTGGGTATATATGGTTTTAATAGAGATACCTCCAGATAATTGTTGTAGCAAAGTACAGTTGCAGGGACCCGTGAGGATGATGCGGTGTCTGTCTTTGAGTTGGAGACCTGAAAACAAGATCAGTGGTCATGGTATCCTCCATCTGTTGTCCAACTAGCCTGGAATGGATCTTCTCACCGACAAAAACTGTAGCATGGCACTGGAACTCAGAGACTGCCCATCAACACTGAGCTTTAGTCCCTTCCTAGTATAGTCTAAAATATTGGTATAAAAACATTATTGCATAAAGCAGGTTCGCTTACTAATGTACAGCAAGATGACCTCTGCATGCATACAGTAGCACAGACCTAGCTATTTGGCACTGTGCATGTGAAATAATAAGAAAGACAGAGCAGAGATACTCTGTCTGTCACAAGGATTTAGATATGCACTCAGGAGCTGTAGTTAAATTATTACATCATAGAAATACTTGCATAATAGTTTCTTCTGGCTTAGAGCATGAACAGAACATGTGGCTGAAACTCTCTCCTTACAGGGTTTTAAAGCCAACAACTCAGGGGCAGGATATGCATACATATTTACAAGCATTTACAAATTCAGAGAATAAGGGCAGTGAATCCCTACACCTGTTTAAAAAAGATGTGTATACTTACCAATTTTTAATCCTCTCCAGTCCGATCACATGATCCTGCAGCACTAGCTCAGACCAGAGGCATAGCTAGGATATCTTGCGCCCGGGGACGAATGGCCACTTCATGGCACCCCCCCGCTTCATATGGTCCCTGTAGACACCCCCCGTCCCAATCACATTGCCCCCCCCCCTTCATCCATGTCACTACTCACCCGGCTCGGCTCTCCTCTCCTCCCCTCCGGCACATGCCCGCCTCACTGTCCTCCTCTCTGCTCCTCTCCCAGCCGGCTCCTCTCATAACTCACTGTGGATGGCAGACGTATCAGATGACACGTCTGCTGCAGCCGCTGCAGTGATCTTGTGACCTCATTCTGGCGCCCCTGTACCTTGACGCCCGGGTACATATGTACCCCCCTGCCCCCCGCCCCCCCCAGCAACGCCTCTGGCTCAGAGAGTACTTGACAACGGCTGGGAATTCTGGGGGCTGGGACGTCACCCATAGGCTCCCATGACCCAGAATTTTGTTTGTGCTCCTTCCTCCCCCTGCAGCAGTAGACTGCCAATTTTGAGAAAAAAACTATATTTTTTTACTTTTTGTTATTAAACATGTCCAGTATAAAAATGTAAAAATCTAATTTTGTCATAAATTTCGGACAAAATGTCTTCTACTACATGTCTTTGCTAAAAAAAATTCAAATATGAGTAAATTAATTGGTGTACGTGAACGTTATAGTGTCTACAAATGGCAGTATAGATACTGAATTTTGTTTTTTTAATACTAGTAATGGCGGCGATCAGCGACTTATAGCGGGACTACGGTGGGCATTCTGACACTGGGGGGAAACTGACTAACTGTCACTGACATCCCCAGTGACACCAACACAGTGATCAGTGCTAATAAAAAGCACTGACACTGTACTAAGGACACTGGGTAGAAAGGGGTTAACATCTGGGGCGATCAAAGGGTTAATTGTGTGCTCTTTTACTGTGTTGTGTGTGTGCTTTACACTGTAAGTACACTGCTTTGTATGGCTCTGCTATGCAGAGCCATACAAAGCAGTGTAGCAGGAGCTGACAGGGAGAGATCTGTATTGTTTACATACAGGTCTCTCCTCCATCGTGATACATGACGATCGCCGGGTGCCGGCGGTGAATCACCAGCCAGGACCCAGTGATCGACAGGTGAGGCTGCCTCACGTCTGCCCCCTACCCGAAAATGCAAAATCATATATATATATATATATATATATATATATATATATATATATACGGTATATATATATATATATATATATGTGTGTGTGTGTGATTTTAGATACCCCTGCCACCCTGTAGCAGTATTTCTGCTATAGGGAGGCGGGATAGTGGCATTTATACGTAATAACACCAGAGATTGATGATCCAGGGAATATCTGACTGCCTGTTAAAGGATCAGGCAGGAGTTTATTTTGCCCTATTGGAACAATTTCGACCATTCTTTATTGTTTTTTTTGCCTTCTTCTGCATCAACTGTGGGTATAGGATTGTGTATATGGAGGTTTCCAGTTATTTATTTTTATTACGGTTAAACAAGATGAACTGTGTCTATTTTCAACCTGACTAATTATGTAACAATGCAACTTGATGTGGTCCCTGGATGTAGAAAAGCATCAGTTGCTGGGGTTCTGATGTTTTTTTGGCAGCTTAGTAATGCAGATAAAGCCTGAACATTGCATGAAATGTTTGGGTCAGCCCCACCTAAAACCATGACACACAGAAATGTGCTCTGAGCCCATATTCAGTAGCTGTGGGACACATAGTGGGAGTGGAAAGCATGTGCCAAGCACCCCTTTTCGGGGCTTGTGTGAGTAAACTCTTAATGTCATTCTGCTACTACTAAATATAATAATAGTAAACAGTTGTTAACACTGCTTTAAGCATGACAAACCACCATATAAAGTTTATTTATAACCATCATGACCTTATTTTTTAACATATCAATAAAGCCAAAATTGCGGTCATCGCACTAAAATTCATATAGGAAACATGGTGATCTTTTGGCTTTTCAGGAAACCTGCGTTGGGAGAAATATGAAGGCTGCCATTGCTGACCTTCCCCTAAAATGCCAGTTGCTTGGCCGTCTTTGGCCACACCACTGACCCAGAACCAAGAAAAATGCAGCCAGTGAAGTCTTTACTTCTGATCAGTATACATGTTCCTGACAAGCTCCTCACAAATGACTGATAATGTGTATTTAAAGAGGTCTTATCAGGATTTTATAGCTGTCTATGTCATCGCTTGGACTTTCAGTCTATTGTTCATGGTGGTGTTTGTCACCAGCACAGAGCGTGATTGGAAATCCAAAGTTTTATAGTTGTCCCCAGAGTAGGAGGTGAGGAGAAATCTTCGAATGGAGACACTTCTTCCAGTGACAACTGACTTTAGATATACTTTAGGACAGATGTGCACTCAATCACCAAAATCTCATACTATAACATGTTAGGGACCTTTCATTGCAGGAGCTGCACTAGAATGCACTAGTGTAGTCTATGAGTGTCTCCATGTATGAGCATGGAGCATATAGCAATTGGAGATTAGTTCAAGCTTGTACTGTTCATGTGCGGCTGCGGGGTGGTGAATGCCTTGGCTCCAGATGATTGGCCCATTACATTGGCGGGCTCAGCCACATGAATTCAGAAAGAGCATCCAAACACATCAGAGCTCACCCCCAATAGATAGCCAAAGGAATGCCTGGAGGTAGCCCAGTCGTCCTTAAAGCAATAATAAACCCAAAAGCAAACATTTATTATATTGCAGCTTAACAGTCCAAAGATGTAATGGCTATATTCATTTTTTTTAGGATTTCTTCTGTTTTGACCGGGTGATCTAGCCAATAAGTCTTTTTTTAAGAACAAGCTCTCTCCCAGATGTATCAGTTTACAGGAATGAAACAAAGCATTAAACACTTGCAGTGGTGCTTACAATGGCCAACTTTTATTTATTCATGTAAAACCTTTATCCCCAAAAGGAAAAAAACTGTTTGCTGTAACTGATTATAAAGTGTGAGTTGAGTTTGGCTTCAGGTTGTTGGTGTGTTTAAATCTGCTAGTACATCTAACAGTCCAAGATGGACAATGCTACAGTGGCTGTGCCCCCTGTTTAAATTAATGAAACCACCGCATCAAATGATTGGTAAGCTGCAATATATGACATTATTGGTTTGGGGTTTAACATTGCTTCAAAGGGACAGGGACACACCAGAAGCCCAGAGGGGCACATGGACAGCTAAAGGCATCTTATGTGTCCCCACACTATATCCAGCAACCTGACCAAAAATGGCAACTGCCACTTTCAATATTTTTTTAAATGAGCAGCTGTCATTGAAAGAATACCTGGGAATCCTGACAAGAAGGTCCTTGGTTAGGCTCTTGTTGTTACAGGGAGACAACTTTCTGTCCTAATCTTCCAATTGTTCTCTTGCACTGTCACCCTGTCGGGTGTGCTTTTGGTAAGGACTTTGGTGAATTGGTCGAAGGTTCGAGCTGTGGGTGGCCCTGTCAGCACCATCTGGGTGCTGTGGCTGTCTGAACACAATAACCAACAATGCAGATTCCTCCATCCATGCTGCAAAGCGTTGGATGGAGGAATCTGTTGATGATTGTGAGTACAGTGCAGGCTAATATAAGAGGATGTGCTGGCACTCATTTTGCAGGTATGGTCCACTGATGTCAGGTAGCCTACCCTTAGAAATGTTATGTAGCCACCATGCATGTAGAAAGGAATTGGCTGCAAATAGACCACAGGTGATCAGCAGTGCTGAGATGCAAAAAAGTTAAAATATATTTTTTAAAGAAAAAATAGCATGGCAATTGTTTATGGCACATGGTCTTAAAACAACAGAATTTATCCAGTTAGATTTCACATCAAAGCCAATCTCTGGCTAAATATTTTTTGTAAGATAATTGATAACCCCTACCCCTGAAAAAAGCAAACCCCTCTTTCTAACTTACCTTTACCTGAGTGGCACAAAGCCCTCTTCTTTGCACTGTGGCACGTTCTGTCTGCCAAAGCCAAGGGAGGCAATACAACCTGGATCCAGATGCAGGGTGCCCCATTGGATGCACTGATTGGTGGCCAGGGGAGGGTGATCAGTGATGACAACACAGATAACCCTCCTTCTTCATGTATATAGCAATGCAGGCCAGTGCAGAGTAACAACAGTGCAGTGAATTAATTGTAGACCTGAAGCGTTGTCACCTACCTAGAGGAAATCCCAAGGGCTGGCAAGATCACCGGGTATTTTTATCAGCATTGAAATGGGTCCATTATACTTGTTAATTTAATTTAAGTAACGTCTACAGAAGAAAGGTAGCATTAACTTTTGTTGCCATGTCAACATAACAACACATAAAAACAAGTAGACACTGTAATGTGTGTGTGTGGTGGTGGTGGTGGTGGGGGGATACCTTGTGGATTTCACATTTGTATTGACTGTCTCGTATTGTGAGCCTGAGGATTGGTGCTTTGTATTCTTACATATGGTTAAAATAGTAGGCAGTTAATGGATGCTGCATTATTAAGGTCTTATCAGGAGTGCTGATCCAGCAAGGGCGCTGTGAATCTGCCTCCATTCTGTCACCTCCAACTCAGAGCATATGACCTCCCCAAACCCAGATAGGGGTTCACAGGTAGGGTAAACTGCCTCTTGCAGTCGTATTCTCCCCTACAAGACCGTAGGAGTTGCAAAGGGCCTTCCCATACCAGTGGAATAGCTAAAGACAGAGGGGAAAAGACCCCCCCCTCCCCCACTCGTCAAGACAGGGTAGGGGGTGGGGGTGGAGAAGAAAATAAGACCAGAATAAAATTAAAACATAACTGAGAGTTTTTAGTTTTGGATAGAGTGGAGAAGAACTAGAACACCTGCCAGGATTTCTATTTGTGTCCCTGTTGGAGAGATTCACCCTTTCTACTAGTCCTGGTGGCCATTAACAATGAGAGTAAAAGTGAAATAAAATCCCAGATTTTGGGTGGTCACCAGAAGAGGAATAGAGAGATAATCAGAGACACTCATTCTGTTGACCCTGATGACAACCAGGGATTCCTTCACTTTGGAAGGATTTCCCTTTTCTTTCTATTGTGGAACAGGAAGTGAATGGAAATCTCCCCAGTGGGACACAGATGGAAAAAAATAAGGGGTTATAACCCTCCCTTACTGTAGTCCAGGGGTCTCCAAACTTTCTAAACAAAGGGCCGGTTTACTGTCCTTCAGACTTTAGGAGGGCCGGAGTGGCCAATGGTAGTAGAAAATGTCCCAGCGTCAGTAGGAGTTAAAAAAATGACAGTGCTTGGAGTCAGTGGAAGGTGGGGAATAGGAGAAATTGGAGGAATAGTGCCCCATCATTGGTATTAGTGGGAGGAATAGTGCCGCATCATTGGTGACAGTGGGAGGAATGGTGCCCCATCATTGGTGACAGTGGGAGGAATGGCGCTCCATTATTGGTATCAGTAGGAGGAATAGTGCCCCATCATTGGTATTAGTGGGAGGAATGGTGCCCCATCAATCCTGACAGTGGGAGGAATGGTGCCCCATTATTGATGTCAGCGGGAGGAATAGTGCCCCATCCTTGGTATTAGTTGGAGGAATAGTGCCCCACCCTTGGTATTAGTTGGATGAATAGTATCTGTTTATATCAGTAGGAGAAATTGTGCCCCATCATTGGTGTCAGTGTCAGGAAAAATGACCCATAGTTGGTGCCAGTGGAAGAAATGGTGCCTCGTTATTGGTATCAATGGGAGCAATAGTACCCCCAGGGCCGGAAAGGCAGGCAAAGGGTGCATTCGGCCCACGGGCCGCAGTTTGGGGACCACTGCTCTAATCTTAAATGTAAAAAAAAGTTTGCTTTCAGCTCTATGTTAAAAAAGGGTGGGTTGAGGACATACCTCCCAAATTTCTGAAATGATTAAAGTAATACTAAAGTCTTGTTTGTTTTTAAATTAACAAACATTTCTATACTTTCCTGCTGTGTGAAATGGTTTTGCACAGAGCAGCCCGGAAACTCCTCTTCTCGGGTCCCCCACCGGTTTTCCTGGGCCCCCCTCTCTCCTGTCAGGTGCCCCACAGCAAGCAGCTTACTATGGGGGCACCTGAGCAGGCGTGCTACTGAGCCAAGGTTCTGCGTGTCCATTCACACACAGAGCTGC